GTGAGGGCAGAGCAGTAACCCAGCTGCCTGGCTATTCCTAAGGGCTCAGGTTGCTGCAGCCCTCTTCTCACCTGGAAAGGAGAGCAAATGTAGGTGGAATTGAATTATGACAAAGTATACAGGTGCAATTTTCTTCATGTTAGTGAATCATTATCAAATTACCATGTTTGAGGTATAACTACTTACAGCACCCCATAGAAATCTAGTGCTTGATCAGGTCTAAGTAATCAAATTCTATCAAAGGAGAAATCTGGTTATGTGGTAGGGCTGGATGTGTGGTTTGAAAGGCTCTGGACTGATAATAAATTGTCCTAGGAGTTAGGCTTACATGCCTGCCACTAACAGGCTATGCAACCTTAGCAAAATAAATTTCCCCTCTCCTGTCCTGTTTCTTCAAAGATATAATAGAGAGCAGGTCACATGATCTGGCTCAGTGGCAACTTTGTGCTCTGCCAGTTACCAGCTGTGTAACCCAGAGCAAATTACTTAACTTCTCCATTTCTGTGTCCTCACCTGCAAAATGGGGATAACCATCGTTTCTAGCTCATATGTCTTTAAGAGTGTTGATATAGGGGCTATACATGACGCTCTTAAAATAATGCAGAGTAAAACAAAAAGTGTGCATTTTAATGATAGTTAACATTCAATTTAGTGACCAAAGATATGGGCTTGGGTGTCCAATGAATCTGGCTTCAAATTGTGATGCTATACAAATTAATTAACCTCTCTGAGCTTGAATTTCTCCATCTGTAAAACTGAGATAATAACACCTACTTAATGAAGTTGTTGAGAGCATTAAGTGGCAGAATGTAAGTACCAGTTACCCAATAATGGTTAGCTCTTTTAATGTTCTAAGTGTGTGTTTATAAATGAATGCCAGTTTTGTCCTCAAGATGCTAAAACAAAATTACTCTATTTGCTACCACGATAATAGACTGATTATTGCAAGTGTTATATTTACGACTCAGACTCGCCTCCACACCTATAATAACCTCAGCACTGCCCAGTGCACAACAATGGCCCATTGTTCAGAGATAATTCTTCTTGTTCTATGACAAGTCCTGCATTTTCAATCGACACCAGTGTATGATGGCTTTAATTTTTATAAGGTGTCTACCTTGTCTAAACCAAAAATGCATTCCTGGGATTACAGGTTTTACTCCTATGAATCTCAGACTCCACATTATTTCATTCATTAAGTTATTATTTTTAATATTATTAGTATTTAAATAATTGCAACCTCCACTATTTCTGCAATAAAAATAAAGGGGTTTTAATGCATTTAAAACAATTACAAAAATGTCATTGTTTCAAATTCCCACAAACTTCTGGGCACAACAGTAACCTCTTTCTCCCCTCTTCTTTCCATCAGGCTGAGTGGAGAGGGTGTTTCTCCGGTTAACATCTGTGAGTATGACATCCTTTGTGTCATTTGGAGTGTGTGTGATTGGGGGATGGAGAGGTGGTGGTTGCACATGAAGCATTGGAGGGGATCCCATCAAAAGGGCTCATTTTGAGTAGGTTTGACATTCTGAATTTGTTAAAAAGAGAGCCATCTTAGGAGAGAGTCTTCCATGTCACAAAACTGACCTCTTTGTAAGTGAGTGAGTGCCACAAAGGGGCACTGGGAGATTTGCTGAACTCCTTCTGCATAGAAGACCCACAGGCCACACCTCCCCTCTCCCAGGACTTCCCATTGTTCTCCCTGGGGCTTCTACTGCTCAGAGATGAGTGTTCGATGTGGACAGACTTTATGAAAGCTCTTGGTCTGCCCTCAGCCTTTGGAGGGAGCTTCATGCTGAATGCAAGGGCATTGTTATTTAGACAGCCTCTTCCCAGAACAATTTGGGAAGAAGCCCCACTGCTTGTCTTAACTCTATAGATTATAAACATAGAGAGTAACCAAGGGTTTTCAGGGCAGTGAGAGCACTATACACATAGCAGGGAGATGCAGCGGCTGAGGAATGAGAAGCTTTAGCAAACTGGCCAAACCCCCAGCAGAAGGCGTCATTCAGAGCTCAGTGCTGGCACCTTGAGGCCAACAGTAATGACTTCTATAATACAACATACACTCTGCAAGTGAGCTTTGTTTCTCTATGTGAGGTTCACAAAAGCCATTGCTTATATTAGCCAATGGTTCTAGAAGGCAGAGCCTCTCAACCACCCAGGTGTCCATCCTTGATGTCTTTGTCTAGTGTCTCCAGAGATCCTCAAAGCTAATTTTGGGAATGGACTGCACAGCCCCTAGTTTCCATTCCCTTGAAAGCACCTGAAAGTTTGTGTTGGTTTCTGAGGGCTGCCACAATGAAGTACACACACTGGGCAGCTTCAAACAACAGAAGCTTATTGTCTCACAGTCTGCAGGCTAGAAATCCCAAACCAAGGTGCCAGTGGACTGTGCTCCCTCTGAAATCTGTAGGGGAGAATGACCCCTTGCCTCTTCTAGCTTCTGGTGGTTGCTGTCAACCCTTGGCTCACCACTCCAATCTCCATCTTTGTGGTCAAATGGCCATGTCCTTGTGTGTCTGTCTTCACATTAAGACACCTTCCCTCTTCTTATAAGGACACTGACCATACTGGATTAGAGCCCACCCTAATGATTTTCCTCTTAACTTGATTATATCAGCAAATATTCCAAATAAGGTCCCATTCTCAGGTACTGGGGATGATGGCTTCAACATATTTTTTGGAGGATACAATTTATCCCATAACAGAATCTGTTTTTTATTTCAACTTTTCTTCTCAAGAACCCAAAGTAGGAGACTAGATGTTTAAGGTGGTGGTGGTTATAAAAGTTAGGAAAAGAACAGGCTGGGAGGAGAATAGTTGGCTGGCCAAATGGGTCATCTGTCACTTGGTCTATCAAGAATATTCCAGCCCCCCTCTAGGATTCTGAGCACAGAGCTGGGAGGGGGGGGAGGGGCACCAAGGTAAGCATGTGTGTGCCTTCCTATGAGCTTCCAGAAGGAAGGGAGACACCAGAGCTGGGTCCACAGAGGGAGATGGGACAGCAGCCAGGCCTGGGGGCAGCAGGTGGGGTTAGAGGGGCGGGATCAAAGGGGAAGGCAGCTGGATTGGAACAGATTCCAGAGGGGAGAAGTCTCCATTAAGTTCTAAACAGAAGAGAGAGGCACAGAGTAGTGGAGGGGAGGCAGAAAGCCATTCCAGACTGGGAGGATGCCAACCTGCTGCACAGAGAGGACCCGGCTGAGGCATAGCACAGTGATCCCACTACACGGGAGGGAAAATTAGATGGCTAACAGCTGCCTGAAAAGACCACCCTGCCCTCCCTCCCCAGGAACTTCAGGGCACAGGCCCTGACACCCCCAGTGTCTTATCTCCTGCCTTTGAATCTGACCACATCTCCTCTCTTCCCACAGCTGTGGTCACCTCCACTGTTTCCAGTGGCTACGGCGGTGGCGGCAGCATTGGAGGTGGAAGCCTGGGTCTCAGTGGGGGCAGCGGCTACTCCTTCACCACCAGTGGTGGGCACAGCTTGGGCACGGGGCTGGGAGGCTCTGGCTTCAGTGCCAGTAGCAGCCGGGTCCTCGGGGGCAATGGCTCCAGTGTCAAGTTTGTCTCCACCACGTCCTCCAGCCGAAAGAGCTATAAACACTAAATGCAGCCACCCACTCCCTCACCTGGGTCCTGAAACCAGGTTTACCCACTGACCTGGCCTGTGTGCATGCGCCCCTAGACACCTGGGTCCTTCTCCTTCTTCTCCCTGTCACAAGGCCCACCTGTGCTGCTAGGAAGCCTGGCATCCTGGTAAACCCGACTCCAACCTGAGCCAGCCTCTGCCCTCCTGACAGTCTCCCGACTGCCCACGGAGCCCTCTCCGTGCCAGAGCACAGACTTCCAAGATTCACATTAGGCTTATCTTATAGAGGCTCCCCTTCAGCTCCGCCTCCCTCCCTTCCTTCGGATACAGAAATGAGGAGTCTGTGTCTCCCAGACCATCTTAATGCCAGGTTGTCAGGCCCCCTGTCTCACGGTGCTTACAAGCTGCCTGCTGGGAGTGAGGGCTCCCTCTCTCCCCTCTATGGAATGTGTCAATTAAATGTATGTGTAATGTGTTTGGTGTCCAGCCCTCTGTTTAGAATGGTGACGGAGCACAGAACAATTCTCCTCCTCCTCCCAGCACAAGGCCTCACCCAAGGAGTACCCAACGCACATCAGACTTTCCTTCCCCACTTCTCCCCAGAGCTCAGAAGGCTGGACTGGGGGGAGATGGGAAGGATAGGAGGGCAGACTCCGTACCTAAGCTTCTGCCCACTTTCTCCTACCCCTCATTGGGATATCTTCTTTGAGAAGCCCCAGCCCCTGGGCAGAAGCTCTGCCCAGCTTCCCCGCTACACATGTCATGCAGGGCAGTGCCATCCCTCCCAAAGCCAGACTGTTCCTCCAGGACACTGACGTAGGTTGGGAGCCCAGCCCTCTGCCAGAAAAGGGACCATTGTTCCCTGACAGCTTCAAACTTGCAGACCTGAGCAGAGAAATCACAGGGCAGGAGCGGAGTTAAAAGCCAGCCCCAGGGCAGCACCTTCACTTAACACAGGAGACAATTAGGCCCATAATTGCAGCAATGAGACATCCGGAAGTGCCCACATTCCTGAGTTTACAGTCTCTTGGACCCCTCTAATCAGGGAAAATTGGGAAGGATTGAAAAGGAAAGGATGGCAAGAAGAAGAGAGATGGCACTGAGAACAATTGTTAAACATCCCTGGTGGAGGGGTAGGGTCAAGTTAAAAGTTAAAAGCTGGAACAAGAGGAGTAGGGGGGTCAGGAGTTTGAAGTCCTGAGTCTGCTTCTCTGTAACAAGCCACCTCTCTCTGTTGCTGAGGTGCAGTCAGACCACTGGGCCCCACCATTGGCGCAGCAGTTCTGGCTACCTGAGGTCTGCCAAGTCTCTTAACTACTCCATGCCTCAATGGCTTCACGTGCAAATAATAACAATAATAATAAAATAAATAAATAAAATAAATAAATAAATAAATAATAGCCACCAACTGGTGCTGTGTAAAGATTAAATGAGAAGGCAGGTGTAAAACAGCTACCCATGGCAGCCGCTTGGGAAATGTTAGCAATTTTTATTGCCATCTACCCTCACAAAGTTATCATGAGAATCAAAAGACACAGTGTTTGCAACTATCTGTCACATGGTCTTACACAGATTGAGTCCTCAATAAATGGGGTTTCTTTGTAACTGATAGGAAGTGCTTGGGTTCAAAGTCCAAGACCTGGCGATCAATAAGAGAGGAGCCCATGAGACACAGTGAGAGTGTTGACATCATGTGGCAGAGAACCTGGGCAAGTGGGGGCCTCGGGGGCCCAGGCCTGCCCGGGGCTCGAATGCCCAGGCCCAGTCCTGCCCTAGGGAGGGAGTTCCCCATTATGATTAGCGGGGCAGGAAGATGGGCCATGGCCAGACATGCCATTGAGGTGAACTCAACACAGTGGTCTTTGATCTTCTCCAGCCAAGCCCAGTTCTTAAAGGGATAAAAGCCAAGGAGACTTTGGGACAGTTAGACTCTGAAGCCTCCTCATCCCTGTGACATTTTTGCTCCTCTGACTCTTTGCCACCAACTGCCACCATGACCCAGCGATCCTCTTTCACCATCAAGTCGGGGGGCACTCGGAACTTCAGTACTTCCTCGGCGAACTTCCTCCCGGGCTCCCGGACCAGCTTCAGCTCTGTCTCCGTGACCCAGGGCGGGAAGAGATTCGGAGGTGGCTTTGGGGGTGGCTTTGGGAGCAGAAGTCTCCATGGCCTTGGGGGCAGCAAGAGAATCTCCGTCAGCGGGGGCTACCGCTCCAGCCGGGGCAGCTTCGGTGGCGCTGGCTATGGGATGGGTCTTGGCGGCATAGGGTACAGAGGGTATGGAGGTGGGATGATGCCTGGATCTGGGGGCATCCAGGAGGTCACTGTCAACCAGAGCCTCCTGACCCCACTGCACCTGGAGATCGACCCCTCCCTTCAGCGGGTGCGGAAAGAGGAGCGGGAGCAGATCAAGACCCTCAACAACAAGTTCGCCTCTTTTATCGACAAGGTGAGAGGCAAGTGGGATCCCCACTAGAAGCGCTGGGGGATCTCTGCTCTCTGTTCTTTGCTGAGGTCAACTGTGACTTGCCCAAGACCTGTGATCCTGGGGTGGGAAGAGTGCTGACAGGGTGGAGGGGGAGGTGGTTTCCCACTTTGTTGAGGTGGAAGCAGAAAAATGACCACCTCCAGGCTCCTGAGCTTTCTGACCCACTGCAAGGACATCGCTCTTTTGATGGACTGTGATCGTGTGCTGGGCTTACAATTAGAGAGTGAAAGGAGATCGGTTTGGAGGAAGGAGATAAAGGGAAGAAAGATTACAAGGTCAGTCCACAGAAGTGGGCTGAGGTCACTTTTTCCTGCCAAGTTTAATAGGGGCAAGCCCTCCTATGGCAACCGCCCTGGTGACTGGGGTTTGTCTGAGAAGCTGGTGATGGGCCAGGGGCTGCTCAAAGTGTTTCACTCTTTTCTTTTAGAGAGAGGAAAGCTGTGACTTCAGCCCTGGGTCCCACCTTGGTATATGGCCTGGAATCCTAGGGATTTCCCCAATTTGGGGGAAAGATATCATTCTATTTTGGATTCTATTTTGTGTCATCGCCCCTGCTTCACACCTGAGCTGGTTGTTTTTGCCTGGGAAGAACCAATTCAAGAATCTGGATTATTCAGGCTCCACACCTGGGATCTAGAAGAAAGTGCTAAAGAGGCAACCAGCCCAGGTCTCATTTTTGGCTCTTCTGCTAGGAGAATCCCTAAGTTCTTGGGCCTCAGTTAGGTTGGATAGATGGACTCTGCACTGCCTTTGCAGGCCTAACAGTCTATAAATACCTCATCATATGAACTCAGATCTTTAAATGTGTAAAACCTAACCACTGAGGCAGTGCTTCTTCAATTTTATCACCCATGTCACCCTACTTGACCTATGTGTGCATCAACAGCTGTGAGATTTCCAGGAGCCTGGCTCTGAGGAAAAGAAAGCCATTTTAGGTTTGTCAGGAAGGTACCTAGGAACCAAAGGGTGGTAACTAGGGAGGGACTTAGAGCCAGGACTGCCCTCATTCCTCTACAATAGATGAGAAAGCTGGTGGGGTGGGTGCATTTGTCAAAGACCGTCAGCAGGCAAATTGCCATCTCCAAAGTCTTGGAGGCTCTGTTCCTTCATTCTCTGAGGTTGTGTGCCATTCCAGCTGCTCCCAGTGAAAGGACTTTGCTTAGGGAGAAAGGTTTTGCATATTTTTCCAGGCTGAGGAGCAGATGCGTGCAATTCAAGGAAACCGTATTTGTAGCACAAGAGCACAGAGGACCTGAGAGAGCAGAGGGAGGAAGGGGCTTATCAAGGCCACACAGCTGGAGAGACAGGGCTGGGATTATGCCCAAATACCTTCAATATGACTCCAGAGTGACCCACTCCAGAATTCCTGTAGGGTGTGAGCAACTGAGTCCAGAGTCTAGATCTTGAGAAATCATGTTCGAAAGAAAATAGACAGGTTGAATGTTCTACTAAGAACTTCCTGTCCATTTAATGGGAATCAAAAATTCGCCCAGTAATGTGAGGTGAAATTTCTTCACCTTCGACACATCAGCATGGTTTGGTGTGGTCAGACAGTTTCCAATCCCTCTGTCCCTCCTTGCTTCTCCCACCTCCAAATCAATCCACCAACTCTCTTCCATCGCACCTACCTTTGCTTGGCTCTCTACCTTCCGGGAGAGAACGATGAAAAGGAGCCTACTACCTGGACTCTGGGGTCTTACAACCCCACCCCAGGAGGGTCCTGGATCCCAGAGCTCTTTGGGAGGTTGCTGCAAGGAAGCCCTCACAATCTCTCACCTCTGACTGGGGCAGGTGCGGTTCCTGGAGCAGCAGAACAAGGTCCTGGAGACCAAATGGAGCCTCCTGCAGGAGCATAAAACTACCAGGGCCAACATTGAGCCCATGTTTGAAGCCTATATCAGCAACCTGAGGCGGCAGCTGGACAGCCTGGGTGGGGAGCGGACAAGGCTGGAGACGGAACTGAAGAACATGCAGGACGTGGTGGAGGACTTCAAGAACAAGTGAGTGGACACGGGGCCAGCTCTTCCAGAAGAGCCCAGTTCAGTGGGGAAATGGGACACACTTGGGCATTGAAGTTACTTGGAAAAAGAACTGGGACCCTAGGGCTTTGGGGAAGGGCTGAGGTTATACAAGATGATAACTAACATGGGCACAGAAAGCATGATATACACAACAACATGAAAGATTCTGCAATTGAGGCTCTGAGAGAGTGACTGACTCATTTAAGTTTATATAAGTGGCAACTTGTGAGTTAAGAATTAAGCCTATATAATCTCACCCTTGCATTTGTTTCACTCAGTCCCATTACTAATTTACATAATGTCCATGCATTTACTCCAACCCTGGCCAAGGGGCAGAGAACAGAGGAGAAAGACACATACATGCTGCCTTCTCCCTGAAATCACACACACACACCATTAAACAAATAGTATCTTGTGCCTATAGACATAAGTAATTTCTTATTTTTATTGTTCTAATTTATCAATATTTCTAATTGTATTGGTCCAAACAAAATAAGTCATTTGATACAGAGTTTTTTTGTTTTTTTTTTAGGTACTGTGTGTGTAATGTAGTAAGAGTTAAGGCTTTAGAGTTGCGCTAACATGGTAGCCACTAGCCACATGTGCCTATTTGAATTTAAATTCATTGAATTTAAATAAATTTAAAATTAAGCTCCTCAATCTCACTAGCCACATTTCTGGTGCTCAATGCACATGTGGCTAATGGGTGTGGATACTGAGCATATCCATGATCACAGGAAGTTCTATTGGACAGCAGTATGGAATCTAGTCAGTGGCATTAGAATCCTGGCTCAACCACTCACTAGCTAAAAGGCCTAAAGAAAACTAACTTCTGTAAGCCCCAGCCCCTTTGCCTGTTAAAGGACATATTAATAGTATGAGCATATTAAGTCAAAATTTGCATGTAAACTACTTGGTAGGGTGCCGACTTCCTGGCACAGAGTAAACTGTTAATAAGTGTTAGTTATTTTATTGTGTTGATGTTTAGGCATATGTATGTAGTGACCAGAAAAGCAAATACAAATGGATAATTTATAATATGTGTGCAAATGTGTAGTAACAGTTTTTCAAGCCAAGAGGGCTTCCTGGAGAAGGAGATGCAGGTTTAATGTAGAGTAGGGGTGTCGAACTCAATCAGAGAAGGGGCCAAAATCTAAAATCCAGCCTAAATCGCGGGCCGAATGGTTTACTGAACAGTCATAAACTGTCATTGTGATGGAAATGCAGCGGAGTGCAGTGATGACAGCGCGGTGCGGGCCACATTGCAAGGCCTGGCGGGACGGATTTGGCCCGCGGGCCTTGTGTTTGACACATGTGATGTAGAGGAAGAAAGAGGCAAAGAGGAGGAATTGGGGGAGTGTTAGAGAATGTGCTCCTAGGTAATAGTCGGTGATGTTCCTGTGGCGAGTGACTAAGAGCCTGTTCAGGATAGGAAGGGCATTTCATAGATGGGAAGGGCATCTATAGAGGTTGAGTGACCTGCCTGGGGTTACTGGGCTGGAAGGTGAAGGAGACAAAGCCCCAACCACAGCCTTCAGAGCCACTGAGTGGGTGGGACTCCCCACTACTTAGACAGGTTGGGTAGAAAATGGGTCACCCAGAGATCAGTGAGCAAGGGGGATGCTGCCTAGGGGAAGAGAGGAAACTGAAGAGGGGGGTGGGTCGTTCCTTTTAGCCTGAAGATTCAGCTTCCCAGGCCAGAGTCAGTGTGGCTGAGAACAGAACAGAGAGGCATGAGGGCATCCCTGGGTGCAGAAGCCGCTGAGGCCTAGGACTGCACACCTCCTACGGTTCTCTCTGTTTCTCCCCTCATGGCCTCTGTTTGGGTTGGGACAAGACCACGGGGTATAAAAGGAAACATGTATGCCCCTTCGTGGGACCTACGCTCTCTAAGAAGCAAAACTGTGTGAAAAACTCAGGAAAGAATGAGGGCTGGGGAGGGGGGTTGTTGTTATTATTTGAGGTTTGGGCATTGTGTAGAAGGGGTAGGTGGGTGTTGGTTGATATGGGATTTGGAGGCATGTGTGTGGCAGGAGAGCCTTGCTCTAGCAGCACATTTTCCAGGTCTGCTCTGCAGACCTGCCATCTCCTGCCCACCTATAGCTCCCCCGTTTAACCTCATTCCCAGAGCCCCTGTGCCTAACATCAGTCCACATATGACCTTTCCCACAGGTACGAAGATGAAATCAACAAGCGCACAGTGGCGGAGAATGAGTTTGTGGTGCTCAAGAAGGTGAGGGGACAGGGATGCTCCCTTCTGACTCTCAGGCAGCCCCTTCCAGGAGTGACAGCTGCAATTTAAACTCGTGGCCTTGCATACAAGGCTTTATTTCATTTGTGCAACCAATCTTGGGAACAGGTTTTACTATAAAAGTTAAAAAACTCATCATCAGGGAGGTTAAGCACGTTGCCCCAGGTTACCCAGATATTCAGGATCCAGGGCTTCAAAATCCAAGTCGTAAATCCCGACACCAGCCCCTCCCATGTGGAGTCCAGGGAAGGGAGAGGTGAAGCAAATGGGCCTGATGCTGAGCTGAGTCTCCAGGACGTCAAGGCAGGCTCGGGGGATGGGCACAAGACAGGGATCAGTTTCTTAGCATTGTGGACCTTCCTGCGTAATGGGGCTGGGGAGGGCGATAGAGGGAGGGGAGAACCAGCCCGGAGCTGAGCTGAAGCAGGGAGAATGGAGCATGGTGTATGGAGAGGAGGAAGGGGAGGAGAGTATGAGGAGGAGGGGAAGTCACCATGAGCCTCAGGGAGAGGCTGGGAAAGCTCATGGGCCCAGGATGGGGTTGTCCTCACCACATGGAGATGACATAGCTGACAACCTGATGGGCATTCCCTGAGAGCCTTGGTCCTCAGGGAATGGACTCCCCTTCCCCCTCCCCACTCCCATGTCAGTCCACTCCATAGCCTGGAATAAAACACGGCTTTCATCCCTGGGAACTGAAGTTCTCCCGCCCAATAGAGGAGCTGGTTAACCCTGACTGGGTAAGACTCAGGGTGATGGTCTGTTCTGTGCCCAGGACGTGGATGCCGCCTACATGAACAAGGTAGAGCTGGAGGCCAAGGTGGATGCCATAATGGACGAGATCAACTTCCTGAAAGCTTTCTATGAAGCGGTAAGCAGGGCCCACTGCTCCCCTCAGAGGGGCTGGAGGCTGGGAGAGGGGGGGCCTCAGCTGGGCACAGAGGCTACAAGCTGCTTCTCTGATCTCCTCTCTGCTCCCCACCCCATCCCTGGGTTGGAATTCATGGAGCAGAGGCTACTAACCCTACCTAGAGAGAAAATGAGTTTCTATCTGGTAGTTGTGAGTCAGGTAAGGTGAGAAATTTAATCTTGATCACCTGTGCCAAGCATGTTCTGTCGGTCAGACAAAGGAACTTCCCATCATTGAACTATACATGGTTTCCATAGAACTACCTGAGCAACCGGTTCACCCATTTCAGCTTAAATTTACCTGTTATTCTTGGCTGCAGGATGATGCAATTATGCAAATCAAGTGACAGTTAGTGAGCCTTTAGATGCTTCCAGAAGCACACAACACATTGCTTGGTTCTCCTGAAGACACATTTTGTTAAGAGTCAGACATTGTTCTTGGGGGCTGCAGCAAAGCACTGAGCAAACACCGTCAAGCCGCTGAGTTCTTGGAGCTTCCTTGCAGTGGGGGAGAAAGGCCACACCGATGCAATACCATTTCAGGCACAGTAGTGTCCTACAGGTTGAGACCATCGGAAAATACAGATATTTACATTATTATTCATTAACAGTAGCAAAATTACAGTTATGAAGTAGCAATGAAAATAATTTTATGGTTGGGGGTCACCACAACATGAGGAACTGTATTAAAGGGTCACGGCATTAGAAAGGTTGAGAACCACTGCTCTAGAGGAATCTGAGGAGTGATCATTAACAAATTGTGTCTTTATTCTTTCAAAGACCATCTTACATCGACATGGACTATTTAATGCTCCTCCCTGGGACAGGGATGCTATCTAGCCTGCTTTGAAGATCCAAGACTTGAATTTTTTAGTCTGGTGTCCTTTCTGCTGTTTCCATTTCCCGTCCCCGAGGAGCTGGGAGGAGTGAAGTTGGGAAACAAAACTGAAGTTGGGAAGCAAAGCTTTCTGGCTCCTTCTGACTCAGTTTTAGTTCACAAGATGATTTCCTTATTTAGTGTTAAAGGCCGTTTTCCTCAGAACATGAGACATCATGGCACTGGCAGGTTACAACAAGGTGCATTCCCTTGGCAACAGGAATGACGTGGCAGCTAAAGTTATTTGTGATGAGTTGATGATAAAGCCTGGGAGTAAGCCGAGTGACTTCCCTAATGTCCTTCCCAGTCCTTTTAGGCCTTAGCAGTGCATATGTTTCCCTGATGCCAAGATCTGTTCCAGGGTTCTGGTCACAGTGCCCCAATACACATGCATACAACACACACACACACACACACACACACACACACACACACACACACAAGCTTTTACATGTACATGCACGCACACTCCTGCACCCTGCTTCAGCTCTCCCACTTGGACCCCATCACAGGAGCTGGCTCAGCTTCAGGACCAGATCTCTGAGACCTCTGTGATCCTGTCCATGGACAACAACCGCAACCTGGACCTGGACAGCATCATCGCTGAGGTCAAGGCCCAATATGAGGATATAGCCAACCGCAGCAGGGCTGAGGCTGAGTCCTGGTATCAGACCAAGGTGAGGTGTCAACATCAAGTTCATGAAACAATTATGGAAAACTGGGATTCCCAAGGCAGTTTAGATGAGAGCCTTGTCCTCTCACATGTCCCAATCAGATGGGGTTGAAGAGATTTGAGTTCAGCTTGGGGCATACCCTCTGTACTGAGCACTTCTTGGTCTATACTGGGGGAATAGCCATATGAAGGCAGGAGATAGTTTGTCCTCACAAGGAGTATGGACACACCTCCAACACCCTGTAGAAGAGAGGTAATGGACAGCTGGAGAGTACCAGCCACCAGTACCAGGAAGAACAAAAGAGAGGGGGGGGTGGGAACAAAAGGCAGGCTGAGCCTCCTGGATGCAGAGGAGAAAGGTGGAACTGTCTGGATCTGAGGGACTTGGGGAGAGGCGGAGACAAGGGCTGGATTTGGGTCACACAATGAGATGTTCCAGGTTAGAACAAACACTGAGCTGGGGAATCACAAGAATATGAGATCTGATGCAAAGGAGCTTTAGAAGCAGAGAGTTACAGGTTGAGAATGAGATGCCTGGTGTCAAGGGAGAAGAACAAAGACAGGATCCAAGAAGAAAGGTCTGATTATGGTGCTGAGCTGTAGACACAGTGAGAGCAGAGCCCAGGAAAGATGGGGATGGAATTGATGGAGAATGGAGTGGGGAGTGGGAGGGGCCTCCAGTGGTGTATGAAAAGCCTTTTGGGTCCTGGGAAACCACCACCTCCTTGTCTCTGGCCTGAATCTGCCTGCCTTCTGCCTCTCCTTCTTCCCAGTATGAGGAGCTGCAGCGGTCTGCTGGCCGGCATGGGGATGACCTCCGCACTACCAAGATGGAGATCTCTGAGCTGAACCGGCTGATGCACAGACTGCGTTCCGAGATTGATAACTTGAAGAAGCAGGTAGGACTGACCTCCCAGAGGTCATCCTATCTAAGTCCCTGCACCCGGGCAGACCTGGGCCTGGTCCTAACTCAGCCCATGCAGAGTGAAGCTGCACCAGATGAGTGACCACCCAGGAAGGTGGTCTCCTGCCTGTCTAGGGGTGTTATAACCTTCTTCCTGAATTCTATCCAACATCAATTCTTCCAGGAAGGGCTCTGTCCTCTGGAGGCATCCAAGGCAAAACTTTGACCAGCTTTACTTACCCACTATCCAGAGATATCCAGTAGGGAAAAGGACCCCCTCCCCACCCCCCAATCACTGTCTCTATCGTGGCTAAAGAGTGAATCATCCAAGGGGGACAGAGATTCATCTTATTTTTAAATATGATGAAGCTCTAGTCACCTTTGCATGAAATCCATCTAAAAAAAAAATCCTCCATCTTTTTAACCCGAAGCCCACATCTTTCTGCATTCTCTGTGGATTTCACCAACTCCTGTGTCCTCCCGGTAGTGTGCCACGCTCCAGGCCGCCATCGCTGATGCTGAGCAGCGTGGGGAGCTGGCCCTCAAGGATGCCAAGCACAAGCTGGCCGAGCTGGAGGAGGCCCTGCAGAAGGCCAAGCAGGACATGGCCAGGCAGCTGCGCGAGTACCAGGAGCTGATGAATGTCAAGCTGGCCCTGGACATCGAGATTGCCACCTACAGGAAGCTGCTGGAGGGCGAGGAGTGCAGGTGGGCTACCTTTTCCTCCCACCATAGCTCAAACAGACTCCACCGGAGCACTACACCAATGCCACAGCGGTCAAGAGCCCCGCAGTGTCAAGCCCCGGGGAGAAATTCCAAGGGTAGATACATGGTTAAAACACAGGTGCTCCCTGGAGGTCTCCTGAGGTCACAGCTCCTTCCACAGCTCCTATTGGACCCAGGGCAAGAGACCATGGGGAAAGATGTCAGGGAAAAGTGGCCCATGACTACCTGGAAGGCCATAAGCAGGGCTATTTCTGCCCAGACCCTAAGACAAACCAGGCCACACCTGGGACAAGCCTCAGGGCTCTATGTTGCCCAAAGATGCCTACAATCTAACTGCCCCGCTCTATCTAGTGAGCAGGGGTCCCTCTCCCCATTCCTCAACATATTATGACTGGGTTTATCTCCTAGATGTCCTCTGACAGATTCGCGTTAACTTCTTTAGGCTAATGAGATGAATGGATAGCTTGTAGGCACAGTGCCTGGCACCCAGTAAGTGCTCTGTGCCGATGACTCTAAACACAAAGAACTCGGGGCTCTTTAAAGTCTCAGCAAATGTCTCTTTCTCTCCCACCTGCAACAGACTCAGTGGAGAAGGTGTCGGACCTGTGAATATCTGTGAGTACATGCCTTGGGATGATAGGAAAGTGGGAGACAGAGTGGAAGCTAAGGGCATCACAAGGACTTAATGACTATAAAATGACCAGGCTGGGTTAGGGACATCATTAAGATGCTCTTAGGGGCTCTACGGAGACCCCTCTTTTCTCCAGCCCTTCATCTCAACCAGTCAAGAGAGATTTATGATGATTTCTCATCCCTAGGGCCCATCCCAATGGGGTCATATGTCCACAGGAATGACTACAGCCAGGCCCCAGGGACCCCAGTTTCAGGACAGGTCCGCTAGCAGAGCAATGGGTCCCTGATTTTTCAGCTGGTTCTGGCAGGGATTCAAACTCACACAACTGACAAGAGGCTACTAGATAGGTTAAATGTAAAAAATTGAAGCAAATTAATGGAACAAGCAGAGCAGTGATTGGCCTGGCTTGGCTTCAGGCAATGGCAGGGAGATGGGAAGGAGTCATCTGCCAGAGTGTCCCAGCAAGTGGCATTCGTGGAGTCCTGCATCCCAGGCGTGAGAAGTGGATCCATTGGGCCCCATATGGGTCAGACCGAATTAGAGAGGCTGGAGAACCAGGATGGGGGAGAGCTTAATAGAGGGAACTAGACAAATTCCCCTGGAGAAACATACACTTAAAGGGAGGTCACATGTTTGACAGGCTGTGGAAGCTGCATCGAGAGATAGTGAGCTCTCTGTTGCTGAAAGTATCTGAGCAGAAGCTAGACTCAGGATGCGGTAGAAGGGACTCGACTCCTGGAAAAGGTCATCTGGATGGCCCCCAGCCCCTTCCAGATTGGGAGTCCCTGAACCCCTCACAGCAGGGGGCCTTCACTCAGTGAGAGACCCTGGTGTAGATGAAGAGTGAACACAGCATGGGAGCCTACAACCTTAGTTTCTGGCAGGTGTGATCTTGGGCTTGCCACTTGATCTCTTCGTGCCTCTAGTTTCTCCTTTGTAAAATGTGGGTGCTCATAGTAATAATGTCCTCTCAGACCTATTGAGACAGTGTGGTCTCAGCTGTGAAGGCCTTTGAAAGGTGCAATGTCCAGTACAGATGCTCATGTGATGGGGATGGGGAGCACATGTCCACCCTCTGACCCTGCTCCTGGGGGACTGAGGAGATTCCTGTTCCCTGAGGAAGTGCCATGGGCCCCAGGCCTAGGAGGGTGTTCTTGAGAAACTGGCGAAGACTGCCAGTGTGCCCTGTGCCTTCTCTCTACAGCTGTGGTCTCCTCCTCTGGAGGCACAGGCTACAGCGGGGGCGGGAGCGGCTACAGCAGCAGCCTCTCCTATGGTGGTGGCAGCGGAGGCTTCAGTTCCACCAGTGGCCGTAACATGGGTGGCAGCACCTCCAGCATGCGCATCATCTCCAAGACGTCGTCCACCAAGAAGAGTTATAGGAGCTAAAGAGCTCCACTTGCCTCTGCTGTCTCCCCCACCCCTCCCCAGCCCACCCACTAGACCCCCAGGTCCCAGCCCCAAGGCCTGCAGCTTTGCTGACACCCCTGCACAAAGTCAATCCTGGCAGCAGGATGCACAGGGAGTGGGAAGGCAGCCTGTGCATTCCAAGATCACCTTGTCCGTCCCTCTGCTTCAGACAGGTCCCTACAGAGGGACCCCTTTCACTCCCCACCCCAGGGCCCTCCGGGGCTAAAGGCATCCATTCTAGCTAATGCTGATTCAACTGCTCTGAGCCAAGACCTGGGCTGGGTGGGACTTTGTCCTTCAGTAGCTTCCAGAGCGGGGGTGTATTGGGTCTCCCTCCTCCTGTCTGACTCGGTTCCACTGTAACCACAGTCCTTCATGGGAAGCTTAGAATTGACCTTGGTGCTCCAAGAAAGTTGAATGTAGTCTAGGCCAGAGTTCTCACGTGAGCTTTCTCACACAGACAGAACACTTCTCCTGCAGGCCACTGAGACCAGGAAGTAATGCCAACGCTGCCCACATATGGCCTCCTCACCTCCTTCCTTCTTTTCTTTAATTTTTTTAAATATATTTTATTGATTTCTTAAAAAGAGAAAGGGAAAGGGATAGAGAGTTAGAAACATCGATGAGAGAGGAACATTGATCAGCTGCCTCCTGCACACCCTCTACTGGGGACATGCCCGCCATCAAGTTACATGCCCTTGACCGGAATCGAACCTGGGACCTTTCAGTCCGCAGGCCAATACTCTATCCACTGAGCCAAACAGGTTTCGGCACCTCTTTCCTTCTTGTCCTCACCAGGACGCTAGCCACTTCCCCTGACAACCACCAGCAGCAGAATATTTGGGAGAGAAATCAACACCTATTAAAATATTGCCAACTGTTGGTTGCTCACAGGAGAATGCAATACTTGTATCAAGAATCCAAAAGTTCTCCATGGCCAGGGCTGCATTTGATAATATTTTATAGCCCCCTTCTTCCCAAATCTGCTTCATTTAAGCCAAAATTAGAATTATGGGCCCAAACAGAAATGTCCTGATGCTGAGGGGGAGGAGGCAGGCTGATGTGAAGGTGTGGGACGCTGCTCAGCACCAGATGCCTACAACAGACATACTGAGGAAAGAACCAAGTCAGCCTGTCCTAGAACTGCCCAGGGAGAGCCCCCCTGCAATAACCTGCAGGTGCAGGACTTCTCCTCCTCTGTGCTGCCACATCACTTCTTTTCTGGAAAGTTTTCTTCCCTTTGTTACCCTGCTCTTTCCACCTTCTCTTTCCCACTCAGTCCTTTTCTACTCATCCTCTGCCACCCGGTATGTCTCCTCTCTCTCCCCGCTCCTCTCCTCGTCTCTCTTTATTTCTCTTTTCTTCCTTTCACTTCCCCACTTTTGTTTGCCAGTAGAGTTTCCATTCTTTCTCTCTCCGGGCCATTCTTCTATATTCATGTCTCTGAAATATCTGCCTGTGGCCTTGCCCATCCCCAGCTTTAGCCACTGAAACTCTTGAAAGCAGTCAGTCCACCAAACGCCCTGCCCCACAGGGAAGGCCTGAGACAGCAGAGAGGCAGCTCTTCCTTAGGTGTTCCCCCGGGGTTTTGGATATGATGCTCAGCCCCTTAAGGGAAGCAGAAATAGGGCATCGGTGGAACAGGGGAGCAGGGGAGGCACCGAAATATTTTTGAGGTGGCCTTTGAAGGGTGGTTTCCTATTTAGTTAGAAGACATGTAAACCCTCAAAACACCTGCCATGTGTTCAAGACCAAAATGCACTCACAAGATGAGGAGTGATAGGCTGTGTGCTGCTGACATGAAGACAGGAGCATCCACTGCTTCAGAGAACAGTCACTCCCGCTCTGATCCTTTCAAACCCTTCTCTACTGCCGGCTCCCTGAGCCTACCTGTTCCCTGAAATAGCTTCAATAAAATGTCACCGAGCTCTCTGGGTGTTGACTGAGTCTGTCTTATCTCACATTCAAAGGACAACCTTGGACCTGGGGTTCTCCAGAAGCAGATGCCTTCCAATTAACTACCCTGCTCTCTGCCCCAGAGCTCTGGTCCTGGTTCTAGGGAGTCCAACATGGTCATTGAGACCACGCTCCGGCAAGGATGTGTCTGGGGGACGCTCTCCAGTGTCCAGTGAACCCAGCCTCACAGGTCTGCCCACTATCTCATTCATTTCCTCTGATGGGAGTCTGGAGGGAGTCTAATCCCTCATCTGGCTTCTCAGCATCACCATCCCCACTAATATCATCTCTGGGGCCCAGTTCTGTGACACTTCCTTTAGGGCACAGTGAGAATCCCCTCTTCCTGCACCATGCACAGGACCAACACCATCATCACCCATTGTCTCATGACAAACCTCACCTGCCCCGGTCCCCCTCTTCTCTCCTCAGTATGCAGGGACCAAAGTCAAGACTACGCAAAAAAGGGACACTGAAATATCACAGTTTGAGAATTTCCCATTGAGTTCCAGTCTCCTAGTCTATAAGTGTAGAAGCTGAGAAACAGAGGAAATATAATGCACAGTGGCAGCATCCAATTCCTAACCCGCTTCTCTCCACGGGAACAGCAAGCACAGTGACGTCAGAAAGAATGGGATGAATCCAGTCTTGGCGGAGTTTAACCACTCTGCTCCTCACTTTCCTTATTTGTAAAATAGAAACTCCATCATGGTGACATTATATGAATTAAATGAGATAGTAAATGTAGAACTCAGGGTGGTCCTGCACATAGTAAGCACCCAATAAATGTTCTTACTATTATTATTATTATTATTATTATTATTATTATTATCGAGTTGATTCTGATCTATAAAAGGTCACAATGTAGAAGAGAAAGACCCATTGGCCACAGCAGCAGTTTCACTGATGGGACTGAGGGAAGGGGGGGGGGGGGAAGCGGGGGGAGAGAACAGGATGAGGGTAGTAGTTCGAGCATTTTCAAAGATCTGTGACCTGGTGCTGGGGAGAAGGGCTCTATCCCAAATACACCTAAACAATTCCTGGGGGCAGTGACTGTCCCCAGAGATGTCCTCGGGCCAGAGCAGGCTCTGTCTACCTCAGAGAGGCTGGGGATGGAGTGGGTAAGAAGGGAAAGAAATAGCCACATGGAACCCCAACCTAATGGCTGACATCAATGCATGTTTGGGGAAAAGCATTCGTTCCTCTCCTCAAGCATGAGGCAGCTCCTCTTGAGTCCCCTGTGGCCTTTCTGGACTAAACAGACCCTGGAGACAAGACTCTGTGTCTGGAGTCTTCTATCTCAGGAACCCTGGGGAGACAGGAGGTAAGGGAGCCAGAGACAGGACCCAGGCTCGCCTGAGGGGTTCTCCCACCCAAAACCCTTCTGCCCTGGGAACTCCCAGGATCCCCTAGAAGTCCTTAGGGGACTTGGGTCTGGAGCATTTGCAAAAACATAAAAACAGCCTTTAGGAAAGAGAGCATCCTCAAGCATATCCAACTTGGCTTCTGAGCCAGGGCATATAGGGAATGTAATTCATGGCCCCTCTCCTTGAACTGGCATAAAGTCCCAACTCTCCCTTTCCTTGAGACTGACCCTCTGAATATGCCCCTTTCATAACCCCTATTAACAAGGAAGGAGGACACATGGGACTTTTATAGGGCCGCCAGCACTGACCACTGGCTCCTTTTCTCCACTCTTTGCTACTCTAATTATCCACCTGGTTACTTAGAGCTGCCAGTCTCCCAAGCTCATAAACCTGATTTAATGGTGATTGGGGGTCTGACCCAGCTCAGACCTCCAGCACCTGACAGATAAAAGGGTGGGAGCTGAGCTGACTTGATAGCTCTTGCTTCCCATTCTCCCCAACAGGGCCTGCCTCTCTGCCTCTCTCTTCTGCCATGTCGTGCCTATCCTACCAAAAGGGCTCCAGATCTGGCAGTCGGAGCTTCAGCTCATGCTCAGCTGTCTTCCCTCAGAGGGTCACCCACTATGCAGTGAGCTCGGGGCCATGCCAGTCTGGGGTTGGTGGGGGCCTCCGGGCCCTGGGCTGCCTTCGCTCACGGAGCCTGTGCAACGTGGGCTTTGGGAGGCCCTGGGTAGCTTCCAGGTGTGGCCTTCCTGGCTTCGGATACCGAGTGGGGGCTACCTGTGGGTCTCCTGCCTGCATCACTCCCGTCACCATCAATGAGAGCCTGCTAGTCCCACTTCAGCTGGAAATTGACCCAACGGTGCAGAGCGTGAAGAGGGATGAGAAAGAGCAGATCAAGTGCCTCAATAACCGCTTTGCATCCTTCATCAACAAGGTAAGAGGTCCAGGGCCATGGGATGCAGAGGACAGTTTGTGTCAGGCCCAGGAGATGGGAAAAGACTGACCAAAGAGGAGGTCACAGTTCATCTATTGGCCTCTCCTGTACTCATGAGCACTAACCATTGAAAGCTAGTTACAATAGATCAGGCTCAGCACTCAACATTTCTATTTGCTGAGCCTTCATTTTCATTGACATCTCTCTCTGGATATTAGCTGATAAAATTACCAAGGTTGCCTGAGGTCAGACTACAAGAGGGACTTCCAAAGCGATGATAGATACTGAAAGGAATAACGTAAGAGGCCTTCTTGATTAGGCTTAAACAATAGAGCTGCTTTCTAAGTGCCTGAGGTGAGCAAAGACTTTCGGGCCTGGAGGTCGGCTTGTGACTTCAGAATTTGCCATCAGCTTAGGCCTGTGATGAGAAGGTGGAGCAGTGAGAACTAGGGATAAAGGTGGTGTGAGCAAAGTCTTATATTTGCCAACCCCAGAGCTACACCTCTGAAAACCTTCAGGGAAGGTCGTGTGCTGTCTTTGGGAGGCACTAAACTGGCCTGCCTCCCTCGGCTGCCTGTAGGCCTGTTCCCAACCCCAGAAAGACTCTTGGGGGTCAGGACACATGCCAAGGCCTGAACAGGCATTTCTGGCGACCCCAAGGTTTAGTGCAAATAGGCGTGGGCCAGAAATCAGAGACCTGGACTCTGGTGTTGGCTTCACTCCTGACTATGACACTGAGGACCCATGCAAACCAGCCTTGGGGGAGGGTGGAGAGAAGAAGGGGAATGATGGTGGGAAAATTAAAGGAGGTAGTATATGCAAAAGCCTTCCAAAAAGAAACTTGCTTTAGTAAAAGGGAACTGTCACGAAGTTTAATTTTGAAAACCTATAAGTTCTATAAAGCTCTAAGCTCATTCTAACAACATGGGCCCTGGCTGTCACCAACATCACACCACCCTCTGTGGGGCTGGAAGCCTCCTAGTGACATGGCGTTGACCAGAAATACTTCCTTTACACTTCTCCTGGGAAATAATGCACCAAATGCAAAGTCCCAGGGTGAGGAGTAGAGACTGTTTTCCTCTGCCAGCATCTAGCTGGGTGACCTGGTCAACTCGCTCAGTGTCTCATCTAAGTTTCCAAGCACAGAAATGGAGGAGGGGGCCACAGCTACATTATTGCAACAGGGACTTGTTTAGGATGCAGCTATGCAGGATGGGGCAGCCCATGAAAAAGCTTGAAACTTGAAGCTTTGGGGACAGAGCCTTTGATAGGATCTTCTCCCCAAGTGTCCCTGGGCTGTCACTGAAGAGAGCCCGACTGCTCCAGCTAGAATGTCACCTGCTTACATTAGTGATTAAAGCGCTTCCCATGCATAGCCCCAAGTAGGAGCTTTAGGAAAGAAAACAAAGCTTACAGGGATTGGGTGGCCTGGACAAGGTCACAAGGCTGATGGAGGCAGGCAGGGCTGGAAGGAGGACCTACCCAGGCCTCGTGAGGAAATGTTCTTTCCACTACAATGTGCAACCCGTGGGTGGAAGGTGGGTCCTATAAGCTCTCCAAGGCGCAGGAGACACAGAGAAATAACCTCATGTGCCAGTCTATGCAGAGACCCAATCTGTCCATTTACCGTATTGGTGGCGGTGTGACAGAAGAGAGCAGAAACTGATTCACTGCCACACCACTATTTATTTATTTTAAATATATTTTATTGATATTTTTTTACAGACAGGAAGGGAGAGAGACAGAATCATCGATGAGAGAGAAACATTGATCAGCTGCCCCCGGCACACTCCCTGCGGGAGATGTGCCCGCAACCAAGGTACATGCCCTTGACCGGAATCGAACCTGGGACCCTTGAGTCTGCAGGCCAACACTCTATCCACTGAGCCAAACCGATCAGGACTACACCACCATTTATTAAGCCATGGGCCCCAGGAAACCCACTGCCCAGTGACATCCTGTTCTTGGCTGCAGGTCTGGTTTCTGGAGCAAAAGAATAAGCTGCTGGAGACCAAGTGGCAGTTCATGCAACAGCAGAGGTGCTGCCAGAGGAGCATGGAGCCCATCTTCGATGCCTACATCTGCGCCCTCCGCAAGCAGCTGGACTGCGTGGCCAGGGACCAGGCCGGGCTGGAGTCGGAGCTCTGCAGCCTCCAGGACACGCTCGAGGGCTACAAGAAAAAGTGAGTCTGCTCTGACTTCACCCAGCCAGGGATCCCAGGGCAAGCTACGTAAACAATCTGGAACCTAAAACTTAGTTCATCAGCTGGTCGAATAGGCAGGATAATGTAGGCAGAGTGTCTAGGGCAGTGGTCGGCAAACCGCGGCTTGAGAGCCACATACTCCACATGCGCCGTGTCTCTCGTCGCCCTACCGACCGACAACCCCACTTCTTCTAACACCACTTCTTCAAAATGGACTCGCCGGGGCCAAAAACCAACTTCTGCACATGGGCCACGAAGTTTCAACCGTACTGTAGGTGTGCGCCCCACGTGATATTTTGTGGAAGAGCCACACTCAAGGGGCCAAAGAGCCGCATATGGCTTGCAAGCCTCGGCTTACCAACCACTGGCCCACATGGCACCTGGAAGAAACTCTGAAATTGTGCATTTGTCTTTATCTTGCACCAATCCCCTGGCACTTCCCGAACTACTTCTTATTCCCCAAACAGATTCCCAAACCCTCTTCCTTCCAAGCTTTTGCTCCCTCCGTTCTTTCTTCTCGTAAGCCTCCTCTCATCATCGGTATGAACCACATTCAGATTAATTTATCTCACTTTTCTTCTCACCCCCTGACTCTGGTTTTTCCCCTCCCTTACCCCCCCACCCTGCCCCTCCTCTGACACAGCTGGAAGTCCTCACCCCTCCTGTCACTAGCAGATCCTCTGTCTCCCTTGTCTCCTGGCCCAGTTCTTCCTGGTGAAGATCTTTAGCATGCCAGACTTGCAGCTCTGGCCTGACTCACTGCAGGAAAAGGTGATTGATAAGCATATATGAATGAAGAGCTTGAAGGCTTATAAACCCAGTGCTTACAAGAAGCTGAGACCAAAGCAAATTGCTTAATATTCCTAAGTGAGTCTCTCCCGGGACCAGAGTCCCACGGAGCACATGTTGATGGGGGAAGACAGAGAGACACATTTTCATTAACAAGAAATGGTGTGAGTATTCTGAGAGCAACAGTTCAGAAGGGACGTGGGTCAATGGCATAGAGCCACATAGGGGACACGCTTGCTGCAGGTGTCAACCACATGCCCACTCATGGTTGATGGAAAAGACTGGCTCCTTCCTTCAAGATGCCCCAGCCCAGTAAACACAGACCTTTGTGTAAACACACCAACAGCTACAAGGTGGTACAGGCCAGAAGGGGGGAGAAATCCCGAGAGAGAAAGCAAAAGGGGCCTAGGAATGCATACTGGGGAAGGTGGCATTTGCTCAGGGCCTTGAAGAATATGTTTCATTGCAGATACTTCTTATAGGAGTCCAGAGTAGAGCTTAGAAAAGGAGAGAGGACAGGAGCAGATAACAAGGAAGGGCCAGAGTGTGACAGGTTAGAGGGGACAACTCCAGCAGCCAGTTACAGGCAAGGTGTGGCCAGGCCGGGTGCGGGTGAAGGGCAGCCCTCTCGGCAGGAGCAATGCCTTCCCAAAGGGTAAGACACACAGTGGCCAGAGATTTGGCTTGCAGCTGAAGACGAGGACTCTGGATTTTAAAAGCGGAACAGCAGAAGGATGAGATGGGATGGTATCTTAACAATAATAACCAACCTGACATAGTACGTACCCCATGTCAGGCTTAGTGCTTTGCAGATATTAACTTGTGTGATATGCTAATTCACAAGAGCCCCATGGGGCAGGACCAGTGTTTTCCTCATTCTACAGTAGGGGTGTCGAACTCAATCAGAGAAGGGGCCAAAATCTAAAATCCAGCCTAAATCGCGGGCCGAATGGTTTACTGAACAGTCATAAACTGTCATTGTGATGGAAACGCAGCGGAGTGCAGTGATGACAGTGCGGTGTGGGCCACATTGCAAGGCCTGGCGGGACGGATTTGGCCCGCGGGCCTTGTGTTTGACACATGTGTTCTACAGAATGTGAAACTGAGACACAGAGAAGCCGGGTCACTTACTGAAAGTCACGAGACTAGCACTTGATGAGCCCAGATTCACAGCAGGGCCTAGGCTCCAGCAGCCAGCACCCGGCTGCAGCAGAGCTCTGCCGGGAAGAGGAAGCCTGGGCGTCAGGAAGCGCAGAGAAGCTTTTAATGGACTGAAGTTGCTCTTCAAACTGAGTCATTCTGGCCAGAAGGAACCTCTTGACCCTGATTCCATTGCCTTGGGGGGCAGGGAGTGGGCGAGGACCTAGAGCAAATAGCTGGGCTGTGTGTATGGGTCTGGTAATGTGGGTAATTGCTACCTCTGCAACGGAGCTGCAGGTAGGGGCTAGGCTCAGGACTATCCGGTGAGGAGGGCACGGGGCAGCTGGGATTTCAGTGACTACAGCCAACTCTCCGAACAACCCTGCACAGACAGCTATGCCAGCAACAGGCTGCCGGCTTCCACCACCTCCCAGAGGAAATGATCAGATAAAGTGGGCTTTCTTAGCACCAAGACAGAATGAAGTTTGCCTGAGGAAGGACTTCCAGAGGAAGATTTATCACAGAAGCAGGTGACTGGGGAGTGGGGTAAACTGGCAACGTGGCTAATGACAGGCTATGGTAATAATCACCTGTCTGGAAGGGCTGGAGCAGCGAGAAGTGTCCAGAGACAGAGCTGCACCTGGCGACTCTTTGGGGCACGCAGCCAGTGCGAGGCAGATGTGCCCCCAAAGGCCCCTTCCCTCAGGTCTGATACCAAGGCCCCTTCCAAACCCCACAGGTTGACTCAAACATTGTTTCTTGCCCATCCTACCAGATATGAAGAGGAGCTGTCCCTGCGGCCCTGTGCGGAAAATGAGTTCGTTGCCTTAAAGAAGGTGAGGAGCTGGTTCAGAGAGGGAGAAAGCCCCGGAGCTGGCCAAGCGTGCCTCAGCCCCTGCACTGTGTCCAAACAAGTCTGCAACCCACCCACCGCAGAAGGGTCTCTCCCCTTCCTGCCCTGGTGCTAGCCTCAGTGACCCTGAGAAAGAGGGGCTGGCATTTCCTCTCCCATCCTTTGCTGAGGGGTGGTGGCTGACTGAGCTTGTGCCTCCTAATTCACAGGGGCCAAAGCTGGTCAGGGTTATGTCCACACCTGCCCAAGGAGCTGGAAATACAGCTGATGCCAAATCCAAATAAAAACTCTCGACTCAAGCCCCAAAATATGGAAACCATCGCCACGAGTTCTCAGACAGATAGCTAGGTATTCTCTGGCCCCAGCCCTACACAGTGAGCTCAGAGACACTGCATTCAAGGTTCCTTTAAACTCTATGCCCTTCAGACCCTTCCCCAATAGGGAGCCAGACCCAGGCATGTGGTCCTGGGACTGTGGACCCCTCCCTCCATTCTTGGCTTTGTAACCTCTTCACTTTCACATAAGCTTCCGTGAGGAAAGATGGGTCCCACATCTGCCACCTGCCACCAGCTTTTGGGGAGTGGCACCCCTGGTAGAGGGGTGGCCCTCCCATGTTCTCCCAGCCTCAGGTTACAGTTGTCAATGCTCTGATCACAGGACGTGGATACGGCTTTCCTGATGAAGGCTGACCTGGAGACCAACATGGAGGCTCTGGTCCAGGAGATCAACTTCCTGAAAGGCCTGTACGAGGAGGTACCTGCAGCCACGTTGCCCACAGGTGGTAGATCAGGGCCAGTTCATGAGAATGATGGTGGAGAAGCTCCAGCCCAGTGGGTACATTTCAGGGCAAGCGGACTGAGAAGTTGGCCTGGGATAGCTGGCTCTCAGCAGCGAGACACTAATGTAACTGGAGTGGGACAGGGAGCAGGATGGTGATTGAAGGCCCGTCACAGCCACCACAGTCTGTGCAAAGTTGCTATGGGAAGGTCCTCCCCTTGTGATTCTCAAAGAGCTCACTGGTTCTTCCCACTCCCTCCAGGAGATCAGCCTGCTCCAGTCTCAGATCTCAGAGACCTCGGTCATCGTGAAGATGGACAACAGCCGGGTGCTGGATGTGGATGGCATCATTGCTGATATCAAGGCCCAGTATGACGACATCGCCAGCCGCAGCAAAGCGGAAGCGGAGGCCTGGTACCAGTGCCGGGTGAGGACCAGGGGAGGAGGGAGTCTTAGACCCACTTCCCCCGAAAGTGGGAGAGAAGATAATGAGGGAGTCACGCCATGTCACAGAGACAGGGAATCCCATAAATCCCAGCCCCTGTTGTTTCTGCCGGGCCCCAGGCCAGGTGTCTGCGGAGCATGTGGGAGTGGACCCCACGGACCGCCCAGGCCTGTCATCAGGGTGCCAGGGGGCCCCAGCTTTATTTACTCAGGGACTCCCTTGACATGAATTCAAGGAGCACTAATTGGCAATAATGGCAAAGAGGGCGCTGGGCTTTAAGGAGTCAGGGGAGGCTAATGGCATGGAGGGCTTACTAATGGTGGAGCAGGAAGGTGATTAAGATGGCCTCAGACTTAGATAATTAGGGGCTTGCTGTAAGGGCAGTTGGTGTCCCCAAGGGCAATTTGATTGAACAAATATCATCATCCCAGTCTCACCTGCCCTATCTGTGAAAGGCACCATGAATTCATTCATTCGTTCATTCTCTCATACACTTACTCATTCAGTAACTGCTTCCTGAGCACCCATCACGTGCTAAGCACTGTTCTAGATGCTGGATTCTAAACAGGGACAGAACAGACAGCAATCCCTGCCTTTGTGTCACTTTCATTCTAGAGGCAGGGCCAGGGAGGGTCAGCCAACAAGCAAGACAGATAAGTCCATGTATGTTAGATGGTGGTGCATGTTATGAAGAAAGTCAGTCAGAGTGAAGCATGGGGCGTGTTGTGGGAACATGATTTTAAGTAAGGTTGTCAGGGAAGGACGGCCTGACCGAGGTGTGTGGCACCACGAGGACGCTAGGAGTCAGACCATCCCTGAGATTACAGTCCACAGGAAAGAAGCATGTAACCAACCAAACAGAAAAACAAGGTCGCGGGAAGCGTCTGGAAAGGCAGAGGCAGTGGTGTTGGTCTGGATCTGGAAGGCCAAGCAGGATTGCAGTGAGCAGAGCATGAGGAGAGAGGGCGTTCAGCTGAGGGGCAGCTGAGCAGGATGCAGAAGCATGACAGTGAGGTTCCAGTGTGAGGCACCACAAGGCGATGGGGCTGGAGGGGGTAGCATGGGGCCAGATGACAGCAAATCTTCAGGGTTGTGTTAAGTGCTTTGGGCTTTTTTTCTGAAGACAATTTGGCTCAGAGAGTGCCTCCAGCAAGGTTCTGCCCTGGAACAAAGGAATCAAACGCTGGCCTGAGGTCAGTTCCCAGTGACTCCATGGCCCATCCACATCAGGTGGCTGGTCCCTCCTCCCGCTGTCTCCTGGGCTGCCCGTCAAACAAGTGGCTCAGAGGAAACAATCTGTGTCCCATCTTCCTAAGTCAAAACCAGAAAGACAATCCTATTATTTTTAAATCATAATTAGCTGTGAGGATTAGACTTTTTTTTTAAAATAGTTCAATTCAGTTTTCACTTTTTTTCTCAAATAACTTGAAGTACAAAAATAGACTACCTACTTCCCAGGGGGTCTATGTCACCATCAGGGACACAGGCCCCTTCTAGCTTTCTATTCTGCCATCCTGCACACCACTTTGATCTTCACAGTTGTCTCTTGTCTCTAGATGACTGTCATATCACACACTCATTCCTGGCAGAAAGAAGAGCAAAGGACAAAAGAAACATTGCAACTGAGTTACTCCTATGTCAAAGGAGCATTTTGCTTTGTTTTCAATTGCTTTGGAGAAGAATATGCAGCCGTGCTCACCCTGGGGGTGACATTGTCTGTCCTCAGTCCTCTATCTCTTAGGCATTCCAGGATGAGCACAGAAACCCTTTCTAACGTCCAGAGGGACATCGAATAGGGCAGGAGACACTTGGTGCAGAGAGAAAAGCACAAGCCTCAGAACAGCTAAACAGAGAGGAGGGGAGCTTGGAGACTGGAGGAAAGTTCAATAAGCCTGACTGTGCAGGGCTGTGAGGAGCAGCCTGGAAAAGGACTTCAGAAACTGACCAGAAATGGAGAGGGGATGGAGAGCAGAGCAAGTGTGAGAATCCAGAGAGCGCCTGAGCCAGGGAGTCATCGGAGGAAAGACTCAGGCAGTGAGAAAGGGGGTGAGGAGGTACCACAGCAAGGCCCCAGGGTTCTGACCTCTCAGTCCCTCAGTATGAGGAGCTGCGGCTGATTTCCGGGACCCACTGTGACAACCTCCGCAACCGCAAGAATGAGATCCAGGAAATGAACAGGCTGATCCAGCGGCTGCAGCAAGAAATCGAGAATGTCAAAGCCCAGGTGAGGCCAGCGGGATGTCCTACAATTTAACTCAGTCCTGACCCTACCTGGAAAGAAGGTCAGATCCCACAGGGTAAGGCTCTCCCGCAAGCCCCACTTCAGATGCCAATCACAAGCCCAGGTTGTCACCTGAGCTTCTGACCAATCTGCTGTCACATGGAACCCCCTCCTCGGATTTGATTAATTTGCTAGAGCAGCTCACTGAGCTCAGGAAAAACAGTTGACTTGCTATTTACCAGTTTGTTATCAAAGGAGCTGATAAAGGATACAAGTGAACGTGCAAATGGGAGGGATGCGTAGGGAAGGTAAATGGGAAGGGGTGCGGAGCTTCCATGCCCTGAGGGCACCACTGTCCCAGCACCTCTTCATGCTTCCCACCCTGGAAGCCTCTGAAGCCCACATTTGGAGTTTTTGTGGAGGCTTCCTCATGTAAGCATGATAATTATTTCCAGCCCCTCGCCCCAGTCTGGGGGATGGAGGGTGAGACTGAAAATTCCAGGCTTTTAATCATGGCTCTGTCTCTGACCCTCACCAAGGTACCACCCAGAGGCCCACCCAGAGTCACTCATTAGAACAAAAGACACTGCTGTCATTCAGGAAATTTCAAGAAATTTAGGAGCTCTGGGTCCAAGGCCAAATATTAAAACAAAAGATATTTCCAATGCTCTTATCACTTAGGAAATCTCAAAGGTTTTAGGAGTTCTGTATATATATTCCATTACCTCACACTGGCCACATTCTCTCTGAGAGTCAGCCCAGAGCTCCTAAGCCCCCAATAATGCCCTCTGTGCCCCCTCCCCCAGCGTTGCAATCTGGAAGCTGCTGTGGCCCAGGCAGAGCAGCAGGGCGAGGCAGCCCTCAATGATGCCAAGTGCAAGCTGGCGGGGCTGGAGGCCGCTCTGCAGAAGGCCAAGCAGGACATGGCCTGCCTGCTCAAGGAGTATCAGGAGGTGATGAACTCCAAGCTGGGCCTGGACATCGAGATCGCCACCTACAGGCGCCTGCTGGAGGGCGAGGAGCACAGGTTAGTCAAGGATGGGCCCCAGGTGTGGAGAAGCTCCGTCCTGGGGTTGCTGTGGCTATTGCCCATCTTGCAGTCATGGAAAACCCGGACAGCTCACAGTCTGAGGGCCCTTCTCATGAATGTGACCTGTGGTTTGGGCAGAAGAAGTGGGTGTGGGGGAGCTCAAGTTATTGCTTTGTTTACTTTGATACAGTGATTTTGTGTCTTTTTTCCTCTCACCCCAGGCTGTGTGAAGGCACTGGGCCCGTGAATATCTGTGAGTAGATGCGTCTCCCAAGGGCTATGGGGTCTTGGAGGCTGACCAACCTCCTGACCAGACCTCAGCTTGTCTCCCCATCCCAAAGGGGATTCTGTCTGCCAGGAGCTCTAGTCAGAGGGAGAAGCTCTCCTGCAGGGCAGCTAAGTCTTTGGGATTCAGAATGAGGAGCAAGTCTGACAACATAATGCTTTTCTGGAGAAAGAGGATTTGAAGCAGCTCAGACAAGTAGAAACAGAGAGGGTGAAGCAGAAGTCAGAGCTCTGGAGACAGAGAAACATTGGGTACCTGATAGGCACTTTCAGCTGGAGTGAGAATTGGAGGGGGTGGTGGGAAGGAGGAGGTTGCTTACAGGTGGTGGCAGCAAGTGAAGGGTTCAGGGCAATGTCCTTAGTCATGCAGTGTGGGGTCCTGAGCATCATTTTCTATCCCCGCAGCTGTGAGCAGCTCAAAAGGTGCGGTCTTGTACGAGCCATGTGTGGTCAGCACGCCCATGCTGAGGACCGAATACTGCACCAGTGGCCTCAAGAGCAGTGGGGGCTGCAGCACCATGAGCACCGGTGAACTCTACATCCCCTGTGAGCCCCAGGGGCGCCCGGGCTGCTCCAGCATGAAGCTAGGGACTGGGGACGGCCCCTCCTGCCACAAGTGTTAGCACTGCCTCCGAGGCTGGGAGTTCAGGATGCAGGGCATTAGCCCTCAGCCTGGATGTTGCCCATGCTTACCAGAGCAGAACACCAGGACATTCCAAAACCTCCCCTTCCTGTATCCATCTCAGGTTTTCACTGGGAGCCATTCCTCAGGTCCATCACATCTTCTAGAGTAACTTTTACTTATCTGTGTGCAGACTTCCAGCTAGGCCCTGGGGGCGGCAGTGGGATGCAAGGTCAGAGACTGCAATCGCCATGCCCCTAGACTACTGACAGTCCGGCCCTAGCATGGCCAAGAGAATAGCAACAGCCACTGGACACTTCTCTTCCGGATGAGAAGGTCAACTGTGCACATCACAGATCACAGTTCTGCTTTGCACATTAAATCATGGAAGTTTCCCCACAAAGCCAGCCTCCCCCAACCCCTGGAGGTTCCCCACCTCCCTTACCTCTGATTCTCATGCGCCTAAGAAAAGTGAACTTCCTTTTGCCGAAACCGGTTTGGCTCAGTGGTAGAGCATCGGTCTGCGGACTGAAAGGTCTCAGATTCGATTCTGGTCAAGGACATGTATATTGGTTGCGGACACATCCCCGGTAGGGGGTGTGCAAGAGACAGCTGGTTGATGTTTCTCTCTCATCGAAGTTTCTAGCTCTCTATCCCTTTCTCCTCCTCTCTGTAAAAAATCAATAAAAAATATATTAAAGAAAAAAAAAAGAAAGAAAAGTGGATTTCCTTTAACACCCACCTAAAAAAAAATGCACTATTGCAAATGTCAAAGGAGATATTCCAAAATTCCATTCTGAATTCCAAAGTCAGGATTTGCGGATCACTCAGGACCTACCCAGGCCCTCTCAGTTAACACAGAATCCAGGCCACCTTTAGCAGTAGATTTACCTGGTGAATGTGTTGAGCTCATGCTAAGAAAATGTGTCTTTTCCCTGAGCTCGCATTGGTTGTTGATGGTGGAGATATGCCTAGAACAAAGGCAAAGGACATGGGATATTTACTTGGCATAGGGACAATTGAGAGCTGACATTATTTGCTCAATGAAGTCAAGCCCCGCCCCCACCTCTGTAGACAGCCACCTGGTTCCTACCCCCTCTCCCTTTACTTCCTCTTGCTTTGGGTCTGCTATGAATGTGTTTTCCTGGCCACAGCGATGTGGGGCTGACCAGCCAACTGGAGGCTCTGTCTCAGGGGCTGTGAAGGAGGAGGAGGTGTTGGGCTGACCCCATCCCTCCAGAGGCCCCGCCCCTAGGGCTGCATCCACAGAAGCCTCACCCTCCCAAGTCTCTGCCAAGAGCCTCTGGGCTTGTCTGTTCCCAATAAACTAACTGGTCACAGGTTACAGCAATCAGGATGACTCAACCTGCTCTGTGGGTCTGAGAGGAGGAACCTCCTTTGAGGGAGAACAAATAAGCCGCCTTTGGGGCTGGAAGCTGGGGAAGTTGGGCTAAAAAGGAAGGTTGTTATATAAATGGGAAAACTACATATGAACAATTTGCTAGTGGCCTGTGGAATAAATTTGCTAGTAGCCTGTGGAACAAATTGCTAGTGGCCTGTGGACCCATACAAATTACCCTTAAAAACTGCACATCACACCACAACAGTGTACAAGTCTCTTGCCACATGAAAAACCACGTGTCTGTCATACATAGGCTCCTCACCACACGGTCCCCTGCATGTATCCTAGAGAAAGTTCAAGGGGCCCCAAGAATGTCTGTTCTCATCAGGCTCCCAGGCCTGGGTTCTGCCTCCCCATCCTGGACCAGTCTGGGTGCAGGACATTCCTGGTCCGGGGAAAGCACTGAAGATGAGTGGCAGCCCAGCCAGGAAGGAGAGCCCTCCATCTCTTCTTCTCTCTAGGGAGCCCAAGGTCTGGGAATGAGACTTGGTAGTAACAGTTTCACCCTCTGGGGGGCTGGATACCCTCCCTATTGCTTCACTGATTACCCAAAACAACCCCTGTGGCTCCACTCTCCTGAGCATTGAGGCACAGGTCCCCTTCCACCACAGCCCCACACAGAGCATCTATTCTGCACCAAGGCCTGCATGAGGAGTTGGTGGTACAGGGGTGACTAAGACCCTCTGAACCCTGGAGAGACTCTGTGTCACACAGGAGGAGAGCCAGGGAATGTGAGGCTATGAAAAAGAGCAACTGATGATTGTGCCCAGCAAGGGGATCAGAGAGAGATTCATAGAGTGTGAAGGGAAGTCTCGGGTTCATATCCATGGGCAGCAGGTTCAAAAGAACCCACCCACTCACTTCTTTCCCTCAATATGCATTTACGAAGCACCTGTTGAGGCTGGTGACACAGTGGTGAGCAAAACAGTCCCAGTCAGGGCCAGCTCACTCGGTAGACACAGCACCTAGAGCCCATTATAGGGGTTGTAAACTGGTGCAGCCACGTTGGGAAACAGTCTGGTGGTTCCCCAAATGTTAAACCCAGAGTGACCATATGTCCCAGCAATTCCACTCCTAGGTATATACCCAGGAGAAAGGAAAACACATTTCCACACCAAAATGTGCATGTGGATGTCTACACCAACACTTCACAATGGCCAAAAGGTGGAAATAACCCAAATGTCCATTAACAGGCAAATGGATAACCAAAATGTGGTATATTCATACAATGGATATAAAAGGAATGTTCTGTCATAAAAGGAATGGAGCGATACATGCTACAACATGGATGAACCTTGAAAATATTACGGAAGGTAAAAGAAGCAAGTCACAAAGACCATATAGTTTATAATTCCTTTCATATGAAAGTCCAGAATATAGAAATTTAAGAGCTAGAAAGCAGATTAGTGGTTGCTTAGGGCTGGAGGAAGGAGAAGATGGGGAGACTAGGGGGAATTTGGGGTGTAATAACTAAGTTTGAGGTTCTAACATTGACAGTGATGATAACTGCACATATCTAGGAATATACTAAAACCACTGAACTGTAAATTTAAAATGAGTGAGCTATGTATTATGTGAAATATATCTCAATGATAAACAGCAGGAACTTCAGACCTGGAACAGGAAATTACAGATGTGAGAATTGTGAAGGGGAACATATTTGAGGGTCCTACCCTAGTCAGGGGCCTTGGGAAGGTCCCCAGGAGGAGGGGCAGGTGAGCTGAATCCTGAAGGACAGCAAGGCTTAGGGGTTCTGCCCTAAGGTCTGAGGTTCAGGGATACATGAAAGGAGGGGACAGACAATGGGGCCACACAGCCTCTGTTGCCACTTGAATTCCCATCACTCTGGACATGGCCGGAGAGCCAGCTAAGCTCCTTGCTGATTAATAACTCAAAGCTCTTGTCTAGGAGATCCCAATAGACCATCCACCTCTATCCTGTAGATGACTGCCTATGGAACCAGGAAACGCCTACTGGAATAAAGGAGGAGAAGGAGGGCAATTCCCCGCCATCACTGAGGCTTGGGCCTGAGGACTGTCCATGTGGAACTTCCCATTTCAGAGTGCCCAGGACCCTGGGAAGGGGAGGCACAACTCCATCCAATAGTGAAGGCGCCCCACTCAGTCCTGGATGTGAGCTCTGAGCCTGGGCAAACCCCCTCCAGCACTTCCACTAAGGGAACCTCTTAGTGATGTGCAGCAGTAACCCCCCTCCTCCCTGCTTCCCCAGGGGGTGAATCAAGGCAGGTGGGGAACGGTGCCTCCTGGTGGTGGCCCAGTGATTCACACTCCATTCACCTGGGCAAACACCTCCTGGGCTCCTTTCTCCCTGGGCAGCCTCACAGATGCTGGGATACAGAGAGGATCAGGCCCCTCCTCCTCACTGGGCGGTGGAAGGGAGACTCAGATGAGTAAAGCTAAAGCCTCACTGTATTCTCATCACCCCTAGGACTCCAAATCCAGGCCCTTCCAGAGCACCCCTGTGAGGAATGGTGGGGAACCACCCAACAAGGCCTGGGAAGGGAGGGAGGATACAGGTAGAGTTCCTTGTGTCTGTGTCTGTCTCCCAGAAGGTCTCCCATTTTCTCATCCCTCTTCTTAACTTCTCACCGGGGCTTCTCTTCTCCCAACAAGGTCCTTCCTTCCCCCACTGCCCCTCCCTCAGGTGCTCTCTGCCTTGGCACCCAGAGGCACTTTCTCCAGGATCCCTTCCTCTTCCCAGCCCTGTCAGTGGCCTCAGGTGCACCCTTTACTGCCACTCCCCACCCAGAGCTTGTGTTGATTTCAGAAATGGGACTGCGAGCAGAGGAAGGAGATTTAGGACCTCTGAGTCTGACAGAGGAAGAGGGCTGGGCACCAGCCATCCCAGCACCTAAATACAAAGCAGGGCACACATCAGTGCCCAATAAACGTTTGTTGAAGCAATCTGGCCTGATTTCTATGAGATGCAATATTTTACCCTGAACAGGTGAAGCTCTGTGGACAATGAGAGGAATTGAGATTAAACCTAAAATAATCATCCCGCCTGGAGGATAAGGATGGGTCTGAACCAGAGGGGTGCTTTCTCTCTCCTGGGAGGCGTTTAGATTCCATCTCAGGGTCATCAATCTGAGAGGGCAAAGGGCTAGAGAGGGCAGGGTTGGCTGAACCTGTCTTACGGGCCCCTCTTTCTGCCAGGGGACTCCAGCTTCCCTGCCCACAGGACAGGTCTCAGCATGAACACCTCCCTGTGAGGGCCTCTCTCCAGCACAAACTTGTCTCTGGGCAAAATGGAAACACTCTGAAGAAGGTGGCTTTTAGCAAAGCCTTCTTAGCATCTGGGATTTCCCTGTCACTCTCCTTCGCTCACGCACGCGCGCATGCGCGCGCGCGCACACACACACACACACACACACACACACACACACAACCACAGGGAGCCCAGGGTTCACAGACCCTGGTTAGCCCCTCCCTCCAAACCAGCTCTTCCCCTCTCCACTGCACAGCTTGGGGATGAGCCAGCAATCACACTACTGCAGCAAAGTGAGGTGCTGTGGCTTGGCCTGGCCAGCAGACCCCAGGATTACATTATAGGCCGACTGACAACTGTAAGAAGAAACTGCGGAAGCAGCAAAACCTTCAACCTGGGGTTTGCAGGATGACTCCTCAGCCTCTCCCCACCTGCCACCCCCTAAAAATGACTGAGGGTTGTGTTATGCGCGATCTGGCGAAATAATGTCTGAGAATTATAAACTGCTGATGTTGTCAGCTCATCCCAGAACAGGGGTTATGTTTGACTGATCTCAATTACCCACCACCCCACCCAGCTGGTCAGGGTTGAAGGAAGCTGAACTCAGACTCAGGAAGCCCCAGAATGGCTGATGGGATAATGAACACCTGCTGGAGCGGGAACGGGGTGGGGTGCTGGGCTGGAACAGGGATGACTGCTTCAAAGGGAAGGGAGGGTTGTGCAAGAGAGAGAAGAGGCAGAAGAAAAAGAGAGAAAGAGAGAGGAAAGACATCAGAGGGAAGGGGTGAATGGATGACAATAACCACACAGTATACACCCAAAGGCTTGCAGATTTAATCCTCAAGATA